CAAAATGGACATATACTTCCCTGCCTTCTTAAGCAGAGTATATGTACCAGATGTAACTTTTTCTTGATTATTCAAGGTCATTGTTATCAGCTATTATGATGTTTAAAAACTACAGAGAGAAGTGAAGATGTTGTGAGACACAGATTAATGGACAGTGACTAGAGAAGTAGTCTGGACCTTGTTTCTTTAATAAGGTTCTATTATCACCCCTCTTTTTTAGTCTTTTCTTTATTAAAAATTATTGTAAAGGACATGTTGTTACATGACTTCTTCAGCATTGTAATATAGCTCTAGTCCTAAAAAGTTGGTGAATGCAAGGCTCCTAAATGAGTTTGTTGGGAGTGTTTTCCTCTCAGGGGCTCTTGACTCTGATTACAATATCAACAAAGTCTCTCTCTCTCTCTGGCCTCAGTTTCCTCCTTGGCAAAATGAAGGGGTTGGACTAATCCAGGCAACATCATGCATTTATTAAGCACTTACTCATTTCTAAGGTCCAGCCTAAGTCTAAAGCCTCAGACACAATGATCTGTGATGGCAGCGGCACTGACGTGAAGGTGGCAGGGACTGACCGCCCTTTCACCCACCTCACTGACAAGGATTTAGCCATCAGAGTCCACAAGGCTCCCTCACCACTTCAGAGTTTGTGCTGTCCTTTGGCGCGTGCCTTAGTCTGGAGCCTGCCAGCTTTTTATCAAAAGAAGATAACATTCCTGCACAAGTGAAATCTGGTCACAGGTTCTTCCAAGTTCTTGGACTTTCAACAGAAGTCCAGGAAAATGGTTGGGTGGCTGGTTGTTTGTCCTTTGTTCTCAGAGAGGACCAAAATGGCATCGCTACGTTGGGGTCAAGGTGCCGAGCGTCCGACGGTGGCTGATCAGACCAATAGGAGCTCAGAAGGCTCTAGAGCAGGCCGGCCACAAATAGTCCACGTGACCATCTGGAGGGGAGGTGTCTCTAAACTTGCATCTCTTGCATTTCTTTTGGGCTACTGCAATTCTGCTTTGCTCACAAAGCACGGCGGCTTCTTTGATGCAGGCATGCCATGCTGGGTCCTCCACTGCCAGTGTCTCTCATGTCATACAATCAATTCCAAAGTTTTTCAGAGAAACCTTGAGAATGTCCTTGTATCATTTCTTCATCCAGGAAAATACAACATGAATCAATTTTATTCTCAGCTAGAGCTTGCGGCTGAGCGTTTAAAGGACCGATTCTTTGCTGTCAAGGGAAATGAGGCTGGGTCCACAAGCCATTCTGGAAGTGAGGGTTTTAGACAGCTGGGTCTAGGATAGCTTTATTTTTTCCAGTGAAATCTAATAAGCATTTATTAGTCACACACTGTATACAGGGCACTATGCCAAGCACTGAGGATATAAAGAGGAAATGAAAACGTATCCCTACCTTCAAGGATCTCATATATTCTACTAGTAAGATGACTTTTCCTATGGATTTTAATTTCTTTTTCAGTGTAATAGCAGGGCATTTAAAATCACACTCGATTTTTTTTTGAAGACTGAAGGACATAGTTAAGTAAATATACTTAACTTAGTGGAGTCCTGCTGAAATAGAAATTAAATTGGCATTTGACTGATTTTCTGGAATTTGGCTGAACCTGAGAAGCTGAATGGGTCCTGTGTCTAAAAAGAATTAAATACCATGCTTCCCATCCTGCGAGGCATTTAGGGAAACAGAATTCCAGAGTCTCCTTGGGCTGAGAAAGCAACAGGCCGTTCTCACTGGATAAAAGAAGGAAAGCATGGTTAAAAACCAAAAGAAAGCGAGCTGGGGCACTCCATTTCTGACCTCCCCCTATGCAGCCCAGTGAATCCCTGCTTCAGTAAACCTCTGTGTTGGTATAGACTTAGTGTGAACACCAGACTGCACTTAGAACCCCTGAGCTCGATGGGCCCACCAGCTTCAGACTCCCCAGGAACAGGAACCATAAGCTTGAGCCTCCATGGCTAGCTTTCAGATCAAAGTGACCATGGGTGCTGAAATGCCTCGAGGAAAGTGCAGCTTTCTTCTGGCAGCCCAGCTCTTGGGCAGCTGCGCCTCAGGGTACAAAGTGTTCAAACCAAGGAAAGAAAGGAGATGCACAGGCACATACCGTGGTATAGTGGGAAATATTCTGGCTCTAACATCAGAGGAGGGGGGTTCAAATCTCAGAGGAGTCATTTGCTGCTTTCAGGAACCCTGGGGCAAGTCACACCCTCCTGGGCCTCAGTTTCTTCATCTGTAAAATTAGGAGGTGGGAGTAGATGACCCCTACAGTAGATGATCCCTTGTAGCTCTCAATCCACATATGACAGAGGAAATTAAGCTGAGAGGAAAGCATACTGAGAAATTTTTTTAAAAAGGAAAGGCAACAGTCTGAAGTCTGGAGATTCAAGAAAATGAAAATAAATGAAATTAAAAGATGGAAGCTTTTTGATTGAAAAAAATTAAAATCAGGGAATTTGCATAACAAATGCCATCCTGCTAGCCTGCAGGTTAGATCAAGAATATCCCATAATCTCTTATTCACTTGCTGTCAGCAGGAATCAATATACAATATTTCCAGAACATAAGGACAGTAAAGCCGCAAGAGCCTAAGTGGGAGGGAAACGGACTTATGTGAGAACTTAAAGATTTCTTTCTTTCTCATAGGGAGACCTAGGAAACCCAGCGATGTTCCAAGCCAAGGAGAGCAGCCTGTGGGTTCTGAGAGGCATCTTGAACAAAGGTGGCATGAGCCGCATTGGGCCATTTCTCTATGCCAAGCTCTCTTACCACAGTGACTGGATTTCCAAAAGAATAATGAAAGACCACATTGATTTATGCCCCATCTTCAGATGGCAATCTACACCCTTCCCTGCTGTGAGATCAAAACTGCAGAACATCACCTTGGTGAAGCCACTCCAAGCCTTCTCTTTTCCTCCTCCTCCTCAAGAGGACCTATCAAAGATGCAGAAAGGACAAGCCCGTCTGAAGTCTGCTCCAGTTAAGACAGCCACCTCCTCGCAAGGGATGCAGGCTTCTGGGAGTCCAGAAATGGAATACCAAGAGAATGGGGTAGGGAGGGCTGGCTCGGTGGGCCTCGAAGAGCCTATTTACTATGACTACTACAATGGGGAAGTCATGCTTATCTCAGGTCAGGACAGGCTCTGTCAGACCCAGGGAATGGTCTCTGCCTTCTGCTTGCTGGCTCTTCGCTTTGGTGGCATCTGATCCAGGAGGTAGCTGGCTGACATTTAGAATTCAACATCCATGGTCTTCACGACCCTTTCTAGTGGCTGCCTCCCTGAGCTCCACGCACGGGGGTTGGGGGGGGGTGTTGCTCTGCACATACTGTGCCCGAAATCTCCTTCCTCCCCAGCCACTCGGAGGTTACCCAACGAGGGGCAGGGGTTTGCACTTATGAACTAAATTCAGGCTAATCAGTGTCATTCAACCACGGTCCCCTGTGGTTCTTTTAGTTTTAAGTGGTCCTAGGATCAGTGCAAATGAAATGTTCCTTTCTTGGAGACACAAACACAGTCTATACCAGTCTGGAGAAGAGACGCAAACCTCTCTGACTTCTCTTCCTGCCTTCTATCCACCGGTACCAATGTAACATTTAAAAGATTTTATTACTAAAAGGGGATTTGTTACTTTTAACGTTCTGGTTTTTTGATCACAGCACTATCCATATTAATCTCCTTCATTTTCTTGATTATTTAGGTCAAATTTCTCACGGGCCACTTTACAGCACGACACTTGTCTCCAGTAGGTTATTGGCTGTCTTTACTCGATTCCAAGCCTTTTGGTAGCCTTTTAGAGACATCTGGGGGAAAGAAAAAAAAAAGGATAAATCATTAGGGCAAGACCGGGCTCCCATGAATACTCAGCACGTTTATTAGAGGGTCACAGAATTGGGAGCTCAACCCCACTTCCGAGGCCAGCTGATACAAGCCCCTCATTTTTCCAGAGGAAGAAACTGAGGCCTGAAAGTGACCTGCTCATGCTCCCAGAGGGAGGAGAGTAAGGAGCCAGGCAGGGAGTCAAGCCCTGGTCCATTCTTGCTCCTTCTCTCAAGCCTCTGATAACAACTTTGTGGGATCCATTTGCCAGAATTTCTTTCGCCGGTAGAAAATTTTGCCTGTGATTTACCCTTATGAGTGATGGGAAATGAGACAGCTTTTTGGCAGGCCCCCATGAGTACCACCCAGCTGGGAGGAAACTCTCTGAAAGAGCAGAAGGAGAAGTCCCAGCTTCTGGCCACTTCTGCCCCTGTCCAGGTAATCATGGCCAGTGCCCCCCAGGGAGGATAGGGAGGCCTGCTCGCTCTGGTGTTGGGGTCCTGCTGGCCTGCCCTCCCAGCCCTGTGCTCTCATGGCCACTGCATCCAAGGCACTCTGCAGATGTCCTGCAGAAAACCTCCTCCATTCACAGAAATCACCAGGCTTTTCTCCTTCTCTTTAGCATGAGCATATTGGTTCCATTGTATTAATTTCTCTTCAACTCATAAAGACTACAGATACTATTGTGTTTAACAACGCCTCTGTTTCGTACTAAAAATCCTGGGTGTGGGGAAGTGGGGCAAGGAAGGTGGGGGAGAACTTTAAAAAAAAAAAAAGCTGGGGCCGGCATCCAAATGCATGAAGGCACGTGTTGAATGTTATTTAAAAAAGCGATGATCCCTTGGTGAAACTGGGCTTTCAGTATGTGAAGCAGAAACCACTGGATACATGAGGCCTGCAAAGGGAAGCGTTGAGACTGACCGGGGTTCCACATTTCATGAAAACAAAAAGCCACTTAAAATATCCCCATGACAAAGCCTTCTGGGGCTTTGTCTCCATAGATAGTGAGAGGGCAAAAAACATCACTCTTATCCTGCCTGGCTGGCCCTAGAGGGAAAGATCTCACTGTCCGGAGAGCACAGCCAAAGATCCCTCTCCCTTCCCAGGAAAAATCAAGGAATTTGGGCAGTTTCTTTTCTCTGAAGCCCAATCAAACATTTATTAAGCACCTACTATGCCCCAGGCTCTGTGCTAAATGCTGAGAACACATACACAAACCTAAACACTCCCTCTGGGGTCCGTGAACGGGGGCGATGTGTAATAAGACTAGACGGGAAGAGGCATCAGAGCAGTCTGTATTTGATCCTAGGGGGGTAGGGAGCCAACGGAATTTACGGAGTGAGGAAGCGGCCCGATTGGACCTATGCTTTAGACTTGTACCTTTGGAGTGGGGCATGGGGACCACCCAGGAGGCTGGTGCGACAGGTGCAGGGAACAGGTCATCTGGCCTTACCTCTGCAATTTCCACTTTCCTCTCCCACATCTTAATGCTCTTTTCCAGCTCATAGTTGTTGACTTTCTCGTGGACATACATCATCACATGGGGCACTCTGTACGTCGCTAGCTGCTTTCTCAATTTCTTATTCAAAGCTTCTGCTTTGGCTCGGTCCTAAGGCAGGAAGGGACACAACAGAGATCCACAGCTGGGGCTGCTGCACCTCTATAGCTGCCCTTGGCACTGGCACTGCCCTGTGATACGGTATTTTCCATGCAGTACCGAAATACTTTGTAATCTTCTGTCAGCTGTTTTCAAAAAAGGGAAAATAGAACCTGCAACCTGTAGACAGGTGAGTTTGACCTGGATTCTTGGCCAAATTCTAGAACGGATGATAGAGGATGGTTAGTGACCATCAAGAAGGGGCAGCAGAGCTCGTTCACAACAAACACGAGTCCTCACCCAGAACCAGTGGGGCCAGACCCAGTGCATTTCCCTTTTTTGGGCAGGGTTTGTAAACAGGTAAGTGGAGGTAGTGCTGGCTCTCCATGGAGTTACTGAGAATTCAGCAAAACACTTGAATAGGCATCCCATGTGATTCTTGTAGAAAAGAAGGAAGGATGTGGGCTACACGAGAGGAGAATGAGCTGGCCCCAGAATTCAGTGGTCAATGGTCTGACACCAGCCTCCAAGACAAGAGGCCTCCAGGAGGGTGCTCCAGAGGGTCTGTGCTTGGCCCAGTGGTGCTTAACATTTTTATTAGTTATCTGATTAAAGACATGGAGGGCCTGCTAATCCCTTTGTGATGACACAAAATTGCCGATAGCTAATGCGGGAGGAGAGAATCGAGATCCAAAAAGTTATTGCCAGTTTGGAAATCTGAATCTCACAGAATGAAATTTAATAAATGCAAAGGGCTCAGAAAACTGACCTCTGCAAATCAAAACAACTCTGAGGTACCACATCACACCTATCAGATTGGCCAACATGACAGAACAGGAAAATGATAAATGTTGGAGAAGATGTGGGAAAATTGGAACACTAATGCATTGTTGGTGGAGTTGTGAAATGACCCAACCATTTTGAAGAGCAATTTGGAACTATGCTCAAAGGGCTATAAAAATGTGCATACCCTTTGACCCAGCAATAGCACTTCTAGGGCTATATCCCAAAGAGATCATACAAATGGGAAAAGGACCCACATGTACAAAAATATTTATAGCAGCTCTTTTTGTGGTGGCCACGAAATAGAAATTGAGAGGATGCCATCAATTGGGGAATGGCTAAACAAGTTGTGCTATATGAATGTAATGGAATACTATTGTGCTGGAAGAAATGATGAACAGGCTGACTTCAGGAAAACCTGGAAAGACTTGTATGGACTGATGCTAAGTGAAGTGAGCAGAACCAGGAGAACAGCCAGTGATGACTAACATTGATAGACTTAATCCTTCTCAGCAATGCAAGGATCTAAGACATCTCCAAAGGCCTCATGATGAAAAATGCTATCCACATCCAAAGAAAGAACTATGGAAGTTTGAAAGCAGATCGAAGCATACTATTTGCCTTCTGTTGAGTTTTGTTTCCTCTTTCTAGTAGTTCCTCCTATTGGTTCTAATTCTTACTTACAACATCACTAGTGTGAAAAATATGTTTAATAGGAATGTATATGTATAGCCTATATCAGATTGCGTGCCCTCTTGGGGAGGGAGGGGGAGAAAAATTTAAAACTCAAAAGCTTATGGAAGTGATGATTGATAAATCAAAATAAATTAATTAAAATAAAAAAAAACTGACCTCAACATATAAGACACTTGAGGCAAAGTTAGACAGTCGTTTGTCTGGAAAAGATCGGGAGGTCTTAGTGGGCTGCAAGCTCCAAGTGGGCCAGTACTGTCATAAATATGGCGGCCGAACAAGTAATGAAAACCTCAGCTGCAGGAAGAGCCACAGCTTCCAGGACTAAAGAAGCCAGATTTCTGCCATGCTCAGTGCGCGTTGGTCAGGACGCATCTGCATTAGTGGGCTCAGTTCTAGGCACTAGATTAGAAATGGCGGCCAGAGGAGGGCAGCCAGCACAGTGACGAATCTCCACATCATGTCACAGGAAGACTGGCTGGAGGAACTTGGGAGGCTTAGCCTGGAGAAGAGGGGGCATGCGAGCTGTCTTCAAACACAGGAAGAACTAGGAGTTAAATGAGGGGTTAGACTTTTAGACCCAAAGAGCAGGGAACACAGGTGGGAAGTTCGGAAGGCAGATTTTAGTTCAATATCAGGAAAAACTTTCTAATAATTAGAGCTACCTAGCAAGAGGACAGGCTGCCACCAGGGTCAGGGAGGGGGTGTATACCCTTCATCAGAGGCCTTCTGAGATACAGAGTGGACAGTGGCTTCTGGGGCTCTTCCAAGGATGGGTTTGATGATTGGGAAATCCAACTTTAAAAAAGTGTGATTCTGTGTTATAATAAAATATACAGTATAATATTATATTATTATATTATTTATTATAATAATACATTATATATTTTATTATATATAATAACCTAAAGGCTATTTTAACTTTTGGTGACCTACAGCTTCCCTTCATAATCTAGACAAAACATTTTTAGATCATAGGCTTAGAGCTGGAAGGAAACTCCAAAATCATTTAGTTCAACCTCATTTTACTTATGAGGAAACTGAGGCCCAGACAGTTGAGTGACTTGCCCAAGCTCACTGAGAGGACAGGAGGATGAGCTAGACTTGAACCCAAGACCCTCTGCTCCCAATCTGGGGACCTTGCAGCACACTCCTCTGCTCTCAGGAGAACTGAGGTGTCCGGCATCTAAGTCGCTGTCTCACCTCTTCCGCTTGCAAGGTTTCCTTTTCAATTTTCTCCAGGATGTCCTTCCTCAGGGCGATCTCTTTCACCACATGGGTGGTTGTTTCTGTCGCTCGCTGAAGCTTGCTCTGAAATAGGACAGTGCACCAGAGTCAGTGAGCAAAGACAGTCTCGCCCACCTGCGGAGGGGGTCCCAGCCCTGGGTCAGCCTGCGCTAACAGGAGAGAGGTGTTCCCAACACAGCAGCTCGTCCTGACGTCACGGCTCATACGCCCAGCCTGCCCTGAAACCAAGCATGCAAAGTGACCAAAGACCTCGAAATGCCATTACCTGCCTCCCATAAAACATAAAAACTTTATATAAACAAGACATAAAAACTTCATACAAACAAAACGTTAAAACTTTCATATAAACATAAACATTATTCATTCAGATTCTGCTGACTTGGAATTTGGGAGAGTTCTGGTGTAAATTGGGCTAAATTTTCCCTTTGTACTACAAAAAAGGATGTCCTAGGAAAACGAACAGTATAAACAAAATGCTTCAACCAAGAGCTAAAGCTAGGGGGCACTATAGAGCACAGAGCACCAGCCTGCAGTCCAGAGGATCTGAGTTCAAGTCCAGTCTTACATACTAACTAGTTGTGTGATCTTGGGGATGTCACTTAATCTCTGTCTGCCTCAGTTTCCTCAACTGTAAAATGGAGATCATAATAGAACCCACCTCCTGGGGTTATTGCAAGGATCCAATAAGATAACATCTGTAAAGCATTTAGTACAGTGCCTGGCACATAGTAGGTGCTATACAAAGCTTATTCTCACCTCCTTTTGGGACAACAGGGCATTCAAGCACTTTAGAAATACTCATTTCTACATAACTGATCAGCTGATCACAAATCAATTTCTACATGTCTGTTAAAAACAAATCCCTCTGTTTGTCATTGTTTTGTTAGGGTTACTTTGATTATAGCCTGTAAAGTAACAAATTACATTTTTTTAAAAATATTCTCCAATTCAGATTTTTCTTTTTACTAATTCAAATACAGTCCCCAACCCCAGTCCGAATTAACAAAATTTTACAGGACTATTTGGGGAGACAGGACTAAACCCGTGACTTTACTGGCATAGGGAGTTAAGAGGAAACTCTCTTGATGAATGCAGGTGGACATTTGCTCGGTAACGTAGCTGTCTTCAGAAGCGGAGGAGGTGGGCCTTGGAGGGTCAGCAGCCGGTGGATCTGAGCGGCAGGCTACGAATGCGGGTCTTCCTGACCAGAAGGCAGCTTTCCATCCACCAAGCCGTGCAGTCTCTCAGTACTCTAGAACTTTACATTAAATATTTTTGTACAACAGCCAATATTGGGGATCATTTCGGAGCCTTGGGTTCAGGTTCCAGCTACGTGCCTTTGGCAAATCCCTTTCCCTCTCCGGGCTTCACTGTCCTCATTTGTAAAATGGCGAGGTGCAGATTCTGTTCCAGCTCTGACCTTCTACAAATGTGGGAAAGAGCTATTCTGGCTAAAAATAGACCAAAGAATATAGTATAAGAGCAAGCACAGACATAGCGTTTCCTTTTATCTGGCTAAAAGGAATATTCTATCTATTTCTAGAGGCCACATAGCCCACAGTCCTGATTTCAAGAAAAGACTTTTGATCAGGTGGCGGAATATCTCTTATCAGACTTTGTAAAAGTCAAAGTGGGTCGCACCACTTAGACGGAAGATATTAACACCGAAGTATCCTCCAGTAATAATTGAGTAAACATTTCGGGAGCAAAGCCCCGGTGAATGAAAACCGTCTTAGAAGCCAGGCTCTTTACCCTCTCAGCCTGGGTTCTCCCTCATGGGACCGTGAAGGCCCAGGGCTCAGACGATGAGATGAGATGAAATGAGATGGAAGCCTGTGTGGTCTCACCACACGGTCGAAGGGCCTGGTCCTCCCTGTAGGCTGGTTACTCTCTCTGAACACAAGTCAATCAGGTAACGTGGAAGACCAGCCCCACGAGACGCACAGACCACGGATGGCAGACACTGACGTTGGTTAGGACGGTGCTTTGTTTTTAAATCTTCTCCTGCCAAAGAGGAGAAGGTCCTTCCTTTTCTCTTTCCCTGCCCCCTAGAGGTTATCTTCAGTCACCTCAATTCCACGCAGAGGGGCCCTGGGGCACTCTCCTATTCTTCGGTCATTGTTTCCTTCACTTTCTACCAATAGCTACCATCTCACGGTTGCTTGGATACCATGATGCTTAAGTTCCAGGACAAAGACTCTGGAAACACTGGGATCGGAGAGCTCAGAAGTGTGGCTAAACATGTTTAGGCCTCAGAAGCGGTCTACGTTATATGGGGTGAATCCATGTGCATCCATATACCCCATACTCCCCATAAGGAATTTGAAGGTCTCCTCTCTCTCTCTCTCAGTCTCTCTCTTTTTCTCTCTCACTTTTTTCTTTTTTTTTTTTTTTTGGTGAGGCAATCAGGGTTAAGTGACTTGCCCAGGATCACACAGCTAGTAAGTGTCAAGTGTCTGAGGTCGGATTTGAACTCAGGTCCTCCTGACTCCAAGGCCAGAGCTCTATCCACTGCATCACCCAGCTGCCCCACTCCCTCTCTTTCCAGTGTCCGCTGTCTTCAAGGATGGTGTTACTGATGTCAGTTAATATTTGTGTGGGCCGGCATGGTTGAAGGATGCCATATTTGCAGAAGATGCTTCTGCGACTTGAAGCTCTGGCTCCTGCTTGCATAACATACACATGGAATGTGGTCCTCTTTCTTCTGTTCAGCAGATAATGGTAAGGAAGGTTAAGTGACTGTTGAGATGTCTGGTAATGAAGAATGGAAACCAGGCAGCAACGAACAAGAATGATGTTCATGACTCTATCGTCTGAGGTCTCCATTATGCTTGGTCAGCTTCAAAGGCATTTCCCACACATGACCTTATTTATTCCTCACAGCTGCCCTGGGAGGGAGGCAGGGCCCGAATAATTATCTCCATTTAACAGGTGAGGAAACTGAGTCTCAGAGAGATTAAGTGGCCCATCCTATTCCATTCAGCTAGCATGGAGCGGTGCCCAAACAAAGACCCAGATGGATCCCTGATGAGAGATTAAAGGATCTTTCCACTAGACGACTCTAGTACTAATTAATCTAAGGAGCGGCTGGTAACCAGAGTGGGCCAGCTGTGCCACAGAATAAATTCCTGTCATCCTTACTTTATATAAATTGAGAAAATGGAGAGCATTTCCTGCTGTAAGCTTGAGCTGTATCAGTTCTTGATTCCGTTGATCAATATTCTCTAGAAACTGAATATTCTCGATCTTCAGCTGCTGAAAATCCACATCATGGAGTGCCTCCCCAACCTCTTCCTTCTAAAAGTCAGAAAACAAACAAACAAAAAACCGGTTAGTGACTATTCCAGTGGTGACTTCCATTATCCACAATTTGGTGAGTCAATTAAATTATTAATATTTTCTTGGTGAATATAAGTAATCTTGGAAATACATTTGGGACAGTTACTTCTATCCTTGAAAGCTCAAGAAAGATGGTTCCTAAAATTTAGTGTGATGGAAAACTTTGTTTAAAATAAAATCTATTTTTATTGCTATCTTTTCCTTGTACGTTATTTTTATTTCCAAATATGTCCCCTCCTTTCCCCAGACAACTACCCCACTGGGTAACAAAGATTTAAAGAAAAAGGTAAAAAAATCTGTCAGGTAAAACCAAGGAGGAGGAGGTGCATTTCTCAACTTCTCTCTGGAGTTGAGCTCAGTTATTCTCACTCTAAGGCAGTTTATTTCGTTTCCATTTACATTATTATAGGTGTTGTGTCTATTGTGAAAAGTCCTCTTACGTGACACAAACATTTCAAAGCCCTATTGTAACCCTAACTCACTGGACACTTTGGACTCCACACTGGGACTCCATGATATATGTCCATACTCATGCTTTAGCCTCTCTACCAGGTTCTCATGATAAGGTCATGGGAGTAATCAGGAATCTCCCAGCCCAGTCCAGTGGGGCTGAGTGAAAGCTGGCCCCTTCCAAAGGCACATGGACAGTCAGAGACTCCTGCTTGGTCCTTCTTCTCTGTCACTGAGGACCACAGGAAAGATGACTGGTGACTGAGCAAGAAGGGCTACTCCTCTCTCTCTCTCTTCTTCTTCCTAATGTGTGCCTTGGGCCTCCCAACAGCTCTCCTTTGGACCTGCGGGGTAAGGTGCCCCTCACACTCCCCAGGAGCAGCGAGATGAGCTATACACGAGGCAGTGAGGGCATGTGCTTGTCCCGGTGAGACTCAGACTAGCTCTTCAGGTCCCGGCAGCTGCCTCTGCTCTGTTTCTTTCCCTGAGCCCATATGACAGAATGTTGTTCCTAAGGTGGAGCCTGCTAGCAGCCGGCTTGTGAGCTTGGGCGGGCCTGAGAAGGCTGGGCCCTGGAGACCCAGTGAATGGCGTTTCTCGGAAGGGAGACTCTGCCACACATCCCTGGCTGGCCGGTCGATAAGGGCCTGGAGAGAGTTGCATGACCACCTGCCTATTCAGCAGCCCCACAGTTCTGCTGGGAGTCTTTCCTGCCCTCCAGTAGGGTAAGAGAGGAGTGACGGGTTACTGTTTCATGTTCTAGATTTTTGTCAGTCCACACTTAGAAGTGTTTTGAGCTTAATGCAGTTTTTGGTAGTGGAAGAAATAAACAGCCTCGTACTCTTGAGTAATGTTGCTAGAAGGGACTCTCTGATCCTTTTCGGGGAGACTTTAAACATGAACCAGGCCTAACCTTTGTTTAAGGAGGTTTTCCTGGAATCACTCCAAGTAGGGGCATTTTGAGATAGAGAGCCCAAAAAACCCCTGATCCCTCCTTTTGGGGCCAGGTGCCCCCAGGACTGAGCCCAATCTGCACAAGGCCACCCTGAGGCCACAGATTTTATAGTAATCAATATATACACTATATATGTGTGTGTGTGTATGTATATGTGCATATATGTGTGTATACATGTATACCCACACATATATATACATGAACACGTAATTTTTATATCTACCACCTCAGTACTCCAATTCCCTGCTCTCCTAGGATACATTTCCCAGCCCATTCAGATACCCACAGAAACAAAAGAACCATATCTGAGACACTGCTATGTACCCCCATTACATACCTGTCTCAACTGCATCAGAATTTTTTTCTTCTGGACTTTGAGAGAAAGGTTTTTCAAATATAATTTGTCCTTCAAAGCATCCTTTAAAAAAAAAAAAAGGACATGTTTTTCCTTTTTTTCCCCTTTCCCTTCTCCCCACACAAACCTTGAACTCAATGGACCATGACACTCAGCCCCTTTTATTTTGAGATGCAGATAATTCTCTCCACATGGTTACAGTCATACTTTTGGCCAAGAAAATCTCTCAAACTCATTTAGGCTCCACCACATAGAAGGCAGTCCTGCCTGACCTCTAGCAAGGGGCTGAGTTGCCGAACCTCTTGAGAATCTTTTGGAGTTCTTCAAACACTTCCTATCAGCCTTCCTAAACCAGGTCTCCTGGGTCCCCCTTTAAATTCTAGGAATCCATTAGCTACAAACAGTATACAAAAGGCTTTCTATTCCCTGTGGCCTGCCCACTGAAGATAAATTTCCCCAGTGTCAACTGAAAATGGGATGAGGAAGAAAAGAAAGCAGAAAGAGCAGATACTTTGCCTGTCCATTTCCCATGTGGTTTTTAGGCTAAAAATTCAAAATCCACATACCTTTCTCCCCCCCCTAAAAAAAAGTCTCATATCTTTAAAAAAAATAAAAGCCACGTTGCTGGATCAGGGGTATTGCATAAATAATAATTTAGATTTATGAAGTAGAAGCAGGTTGAAGTGGTGCAATGGAAAAGGCCCTATGACCTAGAGTTGGCAGAGCTGGGTTTCAGGCTCAGCTGCGGGATGGGGGCAGATCATACCATTTCACTAAACCTCAGTTTCTTCCTCTCTAAAATGGGGGTGATGATGGAGTCCTTGGAGCAGCTATCACAGACCTCCTGTTGTTGGTACTGCTCCTAATAATGTTTGGTGGTCATCCTGTCAGATGTGTACAGGTCTAGCTGAGGTCACTGACGCCTTGGCTGCCACCATCCTTAGGACTGCTGCGCACGCTTCCCCACCCGCCCCTGAAGCGCCCCATCAAACTCACCCTGAGTATATTCTGGTCCTCCACATACTTCAGCACCCGCTGAGTGGCCACAGCACTGCCCCGCTTCCTGGATATCTTATTCAGAATCTCCCTCTCAAACTCTGGCATGGCCTTTTTAAGGTCGGCCCCTCGGATTTCAGCTTCTTCAATGATAGCCTAGAGAAGGTCAGGCCAGAGCAAAGAGGTCTGAGGTTCGGAGCTCCCGGCTGGCTGCGTGGTATCAGGCATATCGCGCTTCCCTTCCCACGTGCATGCCCTGCTGCTCAAGAGGGGCTGGCCAGCTGCTGCTGACCTCAGCACTCCACCCACGCTGTCTACTCCCCTCACCTCCACCCCTTAGAATCAGTAATTCACTTGAAGTTTAAAACAAAAAAAAGCACTAATTGCCTACAAAACGTTTCAGTAGCCCTTCTCGGACAAAGCCTTTCCTACTATCCCCAATTGTCAGTGGTCTAGATTCTTCAAAATATCCTGGATTTATCTACAAAGTACATGTCAAATCCCCCTGTAGAAGAATTCTCCAGACCTTTCCACCTGTGGGAGCTTCCCCAAAATAACCTGGACCCTGCCTTGGCGGTCAACGCGATGAAGTTCTCATGAGGAAACAGGGCTGGGGCATCTCCCCCTTGTATTCTGGAGGGGATGGATGAAGATGAGCCCTTTGAGGCCCATCTGCCACACTGGCTCAACATTCTACCACGGCAGCGTTTCAGCTCTGCCATAAAAATGAGCACATGCCCCGGACAGTGAAGAAATCACGGAGAGTCGAAAAGCACTTAGATAGAAAGTGGGACAAACCATGTGGCTGGCCTAAAAGAGATCAAAGAATGTAGTTCTCAGCTTCTCCTTTTGGAGAAATCCATGCTTGTAGGGGGAAGACTGACTCAAGGTAAACTTGGAGGTCTCTTAACTGCAGGGTACAAAGGACAACAGGTGGAGAGTGGGACAGATGAAGGGGGAGGGGGAGGAGAGCCAGCCTAAGTAAATAAAAATGGAGTCCGTATAAATGTTACAGGTCACGGTGGATTGTTTGCAGGCTTGATGTTCTGGGGGAAAACAGTAAAGTGGTTTCAGCCTGTATGAGACAGAGACAGGCAGTTAAGGTGCAAAATCAGAAAGAGCTGAGTTCAAACCCAGTCTCAGACCAGGTCACTTAACCTCTGCTTACCTCAGTAAAATGGAAATGATAGCACCCACCTCCCAGGGCTATTGTGAGGATCAAATGGGATTATATTTGTAAAGTGTTTTGCAAACCAAAAGTAGTACAGAAGCACTAGCTATCATTTGCTAGTAATATGTATTTCCACATGCTTATAACACAAATGTGTTGAAGTGAATTCAGTCTCTAAAATAGGTATATAATGAACCTGTCAGGACATTGTTCACAGTCTTGATTTCTTGTAGACCCCATTCTATTTGATTAGTCCTAGCCATTTTTATTAACAGGGAATTAATATTTGGGAAAAGAACCCCCTGGAAGAGATGGTAAGTTAGGAATAAAATCAAGTGATTGGCCCTTGACAGTCTAGTGCTTCTCATTCACCAGGATCCTGTAATGGGTGAAGATGAAGGAGCTCTCCAAGGAAGTGCTCTGCGAGCAGTAATCTTCACGAGAACCCCACAGAGAAGACGCACGTCAGAGACAACTTCACAGAGCGGGCAGGTGGTAAGAGGTTACTACTTAGTAACGTCCAAGCCGGTTCTAGGAAAGGCTTTCACAAACTGCCTTCCAAAGCCCACGGATGACTTCCTCATACTGCTCCCGCCATCTCCCAAAAACATCTCCACTGTCCCAGTCACCTTTCATTTATTCTGACCCAGCCCTCTCTGCTTCAGGATCTCACAAGTCAACAGAGCTTAGCGCAGCATACAGTACGCGCTTAATAAATGTTTGCTGATTAACTAATGGGCACCAAAATAAACACTTGTATTTGTCAGCTAATTGATTAGTTAATTAGCAATGATACAGAAGAGAACTGTACTGATTATTCTGGGGAAGGTGATACCTCTTGCCGATGAAGCTCCCGCTCAGAATTTGCCTTCAGTTGCCTCATTTCTTCTTTGATGTCTTCTAGTTCTCGCAGGGCCAGGTCACATTTCTGATCCACTGTAAGGAGCACCAGATGATCTGCGGGTACCCGGGTTTTGGATTTCCGCCTGCTCCGAAGCTGTTAGTTAAGAAAGTCATGACATCAGTAAGCAGGAACCAGCCAAAGGAGCAGGTAAATAAATGAGCCGCTGGTTCCTGGAACTCCCCAGATGAGCACCCAACATGGGAACTACAACCCACCCTGAGACGTTAGGAGCTGTGTAATGGGAAAACGCCACCATGGCACTCCCAGGAGAAAAGTTCAGAAAAAGAAAAAGACCATTCAGCGCTGTCTGGACCAACCTTGAAGTCAGAGCCAGAGCCCCAGGCCTTGAGGTCTGCTGGGGCCAGCTTCAAACGTGAATTGTGTCTGGGCCCAGAATGCAGCTGAAACCTTTTCTAGTGCCTCTCCTTCTTACCTTCCACATATTCAAGGTAATACTGGGAAGCGGGACATCCATGTTGAGAAAGGCTCGCTCCTATCGAAAGGACTTGCCAGCAACTAAAATATCCTCTTTCACACCAATTGGGAAAGCAAAGGAAGGGAGACGTGAAAGTCAGAGCTGGGAGAAAAAGGCAAGGCAGCTTTCTGGAGGAAGCAACGAGTTACAAAGCAGACCCCTAGACACAGGAATGAAATGGTACAAATGCCTCTCACTACAGTAAATACCTGTGCAAAGTCCATTGTTGCTGTTTTAAAATCTGATGTACGTGGGAAGCGCTGATCCCGAGGCTCCAGCTTATTGTAATATTTCTCAAACATCTCCGTTTCGACTTTGAGAGAAGAGTTTCCATAGCTGCAAAAATGGTGGACGACTGAATAAATCTTGCTGTTCAGTTACTCATGAGCCAAAAAGAACGGTCTTCAGTGTCTAGCTTACTTAAAGAGTCACAAAATTCAGAAGCTGCCAATCAAACTACGGCTTATTACTAAGATAAGACTGGGGGTTTCACCTTGAAATTTCTACTAGGTCAAATGTAAATCCACCTAACCCACTTCATTTTTGCAATTACACACTTAGCACAACCTTCAGACATTTCCCCAGTTTATGTGTTTTTTCTCAGTTATTTTATTTCCAGCACCCAACAGATGGAATAATCTACTGGAAATTCATTATAAACAGAAGCAAGTTTGCAACAGATGGTTCTTAAAAAGTTTGAGATGATGAACAATATTCATCACATGCCTGCCCAAATGATGGCTTTCTAACCTTGTCAAGGGCAAAGACATACATGGGCTTGTGCCAGTATTGGGAGTATGTCTACTACCATCCTATTAGAGACCAGTGGAATTTGTTATTTCAGTGGCAAAAACAGTTGTAAGGCCCCTACTGTGTGCAGAGCACCTCTGTTAAGTGTGTGTGGGGATACCAAGATCAAAAAGAAGGAACACCTCCTCCCCCCTCCCTTTCCCTTGCCCTCAAAACTAAGAGATGGAAACTAGACAAAGTAGGAGCTGGAAAGAAAAACAGGAAAAATCACTAGATCTTCTTCTACTGTGGAATTTTAGGAATAGTGTAAGGGAATTGACATTTGACAGCCTCCCCCTAGCTCAGAAGACCCAGAATATAATCATAAGGCGTTGTTTAACAAGGTATTAAAAGATGCCCTGATCCCTTTGTGACGTGACCTTTCTCTGGCAGAATTAAAGGGAATAACTTCATCTGGACAAGCAAAAAATGAAATCCCCTTTTGATGGCTTTAAATAGCTAATCCCTGGAGGCAGCAGCTCAGTTAGAGGGAGTTCCAAGCCAGGAGCCAGAAGTGGGAGAGGAATGAGGCCCCTGAGAGGGAATCATTCTCTAGGAGGAGAGAGTTTCTCCCTTCTTCCTCAAGCACATCGCTTTGAAGTGGAGCCACTTGACAGACAGGAGACATTGAATCCAGAAGAAGGCAGAGAGCATGCTCCAGAAAAACGGAGTTAAAGGAAGGCTATCTCATGAGAAAGAAGAAGCAGCTTCATAGGACAGAATCCCTGGGAACAGAAAAGAATGCTAGTTATGAAGAAAGAGAAGATCCTCTAACTCCAGCTAAGCAATCTGCCCAGCAGAGACAACGTGCCCAAAAGGAGGTGAATGAGGAGGAGACAGAAGGGACTTCCAGGCCCTGCAAGAGTACCAACAGTGCCATATATATATACTTTTGCCATATACATATCCTATCTATCATGTTCTTCACTATCACTACACTGAGTTTGAGCCTACTCTTCCAGTGACACTGTGTGAGGGTGAGTGTGCCCAGGTTTATGGAGGGATGTTTTGTAGCTACAGTTTGTAGCTACAATGCCATTTACTTACTACTAGTACTCCTTACTACCTTTACTTACTATGCTATTTTAGCAAATGCCTTTACTAAGAGTTAATTGTGTCTACTGGCTGATTGTTAATGGGAAACATACCAGTAGGGGCTCATGAGCTACACTGTTAAAAATGCAAACCCACAGGGTTACCCCCAGAACCTGGGGACCCAACCCTCAGGTCTGAAAGTTGGAATAGCCCCAGAAGGGTTCATAAACTAAAAACAGAAATTCCAATCTTCTTTCTCCAACAACACATTACTTTGCCAGGGTACTTAAACTCTGATCCGGACTATACATTCCATCCTGTTCTTTCTGTTCCAGTTTCACTTCCTGCCTTTCATGGTCTTGATTCTATGGTCCAGGGATTCTTAACATGGGATCCATGGACAGACTTTAGGGAATTTGTGAACTTGGATGAGAAAAAAGTTACATTTTTACATTTTCACCGACCTATAAATGAAACTTAGCATCTCCAATTATTTAAAAACATTATTCTGATAAGGGGCCCATAGGTTTCACCAGACTGCCATTGGGATCTATAACACAAAAGAAGGCTAAAAAGCCTTGCTGCAGTCAAACATCTCAAAAAGACTCTGTCCACCCTTAAATCCTTCAGTCCCTTGTCCTTTCATTTTCCCTCACCACTGCTAGATCACCCCTTAGCTCATAGTCACCAACTGCTACTGGAATAAGTCTTGAAACTGTGTTTCCTGCATCCCCTTCAAATTCATGTTTTCTAACCTCACTTGGGTCCTCACCACTGTGTGGCAATCCTTGTATTACTTCCTATCGCACTCTCCCACAGCTGTTCTTCTAAATCTTCTCTCTCCCCTCAAGGCTTCAACTCTATTCCCACCTCCCATTCTTGGCAGAGACCCACACAGCTTGTTTTATGGATGTAACAGAGTATAATCAGTTTTTCTGTCTTCTGGCCAACCACGGGTGCTGACTCAGTATTAAAGGACTCGGGCACTTTGGGGATGGTGAGACAATCCCTTTATTGGCTGATAAGCAGGAAGAGCTACAGATCTTTGGAGATTGCCTCACCATCCCCAAAGTGTCCAAGTCTTTCCACTCCTGATTGGCCAGAAGCAGGCAGAACAGTTCTACATATGCTTTGTTACCCCAAGACTGTGACTGCCCGTTATCTTCCTTTGGGCCTACCTTAAAACTAACTATGCCCTCCTTCTCTCCATTCTAGAAAAGGTGAAGTACTCTTTCCTGTTTGCCAAGGCTAACTTATCCCCTCCCATCCTTAATCTCCACCTCCATACTCATATACATGTCTCTTGTGGGACCTTGCTCCACCAATCCTTCCCTTTCAATCCCTTCCCCTCTGCCTAAAAACACCTTTTCTTTTAATCTGCCACACCTTATACTCTCCTCTTATATCTCTCCTTCCTTTATGGGATAAATTTCTAGAAAGAATAATCTATATAACTGTCTCTATTTTCTGCCACCCACCTTAATCCCCCGAGATCTGACTTTCATTCCCATCACTTTACCGTAATAATCTTTCCAAGGTCACCAGTGACTTTTTAAAAACTATTTTATTGATATCTTCTGTTTTACAACACTTATGTTCCCTAATGTATTCCTTCCCCTTCTTCATGACCCTTTCAGAAAGCCATCCCTTAAAATAAAGAATAACTATTCAGCAAAATTAACACATCAAAAAAGTCTGGCTCTATCAGCAATGTTGTTCATCCATAGTCCCCACCCCACCCCCACCTCTGCAAAGAAAAAGAACGAGGTGCAGCAGTGGAAAAACCAGGGGGAGACCTTACCAAAGGGGAGCTGGCAAGTTCAGTCCCTTTGAACCTGCAGAACCTCACAGTGGGTTGACAGTGACTGAATCCAGCAACAGTCTGTGGTAACTCAACTCACATAAGCCAACAGACCAGAACACACAAACCTCAGGCCAGGAGGGCAGTGAACAGACTTCTCCCTAAGTCATGCCACTTTGGAAGCACTGGAAACTTGTACGCCCCCAGACTGAGCTGTGAAAGCAGTGAAAGCTCAGGCCAGGCATCCCCCCAGAAGTGAGCAGAGTTCAAAATTAACATAAAGTCCAAAGTCAAGAAAGAAGCTGAAAAAATGAAAAAATACAAAAAGAACCTGACCATAAAGATCTACTACAGTAACAGCTCAAAACACACAGAAGACAATCACTTGAAAACATCTACAAGCAAAGCCTCGGAGAAAAATGCAGATTGAACAAAAGCCCAAAAAGAATTTCTAGAACAGTTAAAGCAAGAGCCAAAGAAAAGATTTTTAAGAGAATAAAAAAATTAGGAAGGAGGAGGAAATGTGATATGAGAATATACGCTAAACGTGATAAGAGTGGTAGAGGAAAAAAGGGGAAAAGAAATGAGACCTATGCAAAAAAAAAAAAAAAAGTCATGGAAAGAGAACTAACATCACTGAAGAAAATAATTCCCTAAAAATCACAATTGACCAAACGGAAGCTAATGACTCCATGAAACATCAAGAAATAATCAACTTCCCTATTTCTTTTGACAGTTGTCTATCCATGTATCCAGTTGAAATCATCTTTGACTCTTCTCTCTTCCTTACTTGTTCCTCCCCCAACACTCCAAAATCCTTTTTGGCTTGGAAATCTGTTTATCGTTGATAAACTTCATTGAGGTACATATGTCTCCTCAAACTTTTCAAGGTCCAAATGCTTCTTAATTATCTGTCTTTTGCCATCATACAACATACTGTCACTTTTGTTGGGTAGATACTTCTGAGTGTATGGTCCACAGCATACATTAGCACAAGACAGACTTATGATTTCATCAATGTAAGAACTCCCTGGTGGAGTTTGAAACCCATCTAGAACTTAGATTTGTCTTAAGAGTGCTACCCCAGGCTCAAAATGAGAAAGTGACTTGTTCACTGTCACTAACAGAATATCTGTTAGCAGCAGGGATATAAATCCAGATTTTTCCTTGCTGGGGTCCAGTATTCTCATCACACTACCTCTCACGGCTTATGCCATAATACAATCGATTGCAAAGTTCCTACCTCCAGAATTTCTCTTGAATCGATCATGTACTCTATAATTACAATGCCGCCACCACCTTGGCGGGCTTCCACCTTCTGAAGAATGAAATTGCTCTTAAAGCAAGTCAAGAAATAATTAACTTTTACTTTTTGTTACTAAATAATTAACATAATAAATAACAAATCAAGAAATAATTAACTTTTACTCTTTGTTACTCTCTGCTTTGACTAGAGAGAGAACTCCAGCAGATGTCTGGATAACTGAGGTCTTCATCACTCCTACATCATGCCTCTGACCCAGGCTTGTGTTCTGCTGTCAAAGTTGCTCATCTGTTTCCTCTTCCTGCCCAGGTGATCAGTAGCACACCATCCAAATACTTTCTGCCATGATTCATCCCTCTTGGATTTCCTAACATTAGTATATATTCTTAACAGAGAATACTACACTTCCCTCCCACCACCCTTTACTGAGTCTGTTTCTCTACCAGA